GCTGCTGCAAAGTACTGCTCCATCAGCAATTTAAAATCCTTTAGCGCTACCTACAGGTAAAAGAATCAAATGCAGCAGACTAATTCAGTTAATTAAGCAGCAATCAGCGTTGGATGGGCTCTCGCACGTGAAGCGTGTCAGATAGTGTTGCTCTGAATTGTCACGCACTTTGGACGCTGCACAAAATATTTAAAAGTCACTTTCTGTGTCCTCTGTGGTGCAAAGGAAGCACCCAGTAACAATACGTTACATCCCAGTTCATCATGTGTGAAACATATTGAGAAAATTTCTTTTAAGGGTATACTTCCTGTTGCCAGTAGGTGGCGCTATGACTATAACTGAAATTTGGAATGCAGATTTGTTGGGGGCAAGACCATTATCAATCACATAAAGTTTGGTACAGATGTTAGCATGTACACTTAAGTTGTTAACAACCTGTTTTGTGGCGAATCATTGATATGTCACTCCATGCCACAGGCTGCCCCGGTCGACCAAAACTCACCATTTGTACAATGTGTAATCATTGATGGGATAAGACTGTACAGCAAAAATTTGAAATCGCATGGACTCTAGGAGTTCATTAAAGTGTGGAATGTGTAAATGACCAAGTGTGACAATTAAATCCAAAAGGGCCGACGGTTGTTGACGTGCCTGCCATGTGTGAGTTTTCATGAAATGTGTTTACAACAGTATTTCCCCAGGTCAGTATTGAAGTTAACACACTGTGATTCTAACCATCAATCTTAGGATCTGCAGGACAATGCCTTACCCCCTGGATTATTAAGACATAGTCGTTAAGGTGTGTTATTAACCTTTTACTTTCATTGTGTTTGGTCACATGTTGTAACATGTTATGCTTCAAAGCACCAATAGAGGGCAATCTATGATCACAAATGCGTGGCACAGCACTGTTTTGATTATGCTTATACTGTATTTTCTGTGACGTCTAGTCCAGTGTTGCAAACTAACATGAAGACACGTGACTAATCTTATGAAAAATGTATTCCATGTATACAATTACTACATTTAGAAAGACTAAAAACATACACATAAAAACAACTACTGCAAGTCGGTGGGAACTGAACTCCACAAGGGTGTTAAAAGCAATTATCACTGGTGCTGGAGGTGGGAATCGAACCTGGGTCTGAATGAAAAGAGCTGCTTGGGGAACTAGCTTATCAAGTAAGCTATAGATGGATATATCTGAAGAAGCCACAATATGATTTGTTGATGGAAAAGTGCATTTGTTTAAAAAAGGTTTTCATCGATCAATTCAGGTGTTTCAAGTTAAAACCAATTATCACTGCTGCAGGATTCGAAGCCAGGACTGGAACAGGTGCTGATCCAGAGCCTGACGCCTAATCAAGCCAACGGTGTTAATGAAACAATTTGATCATTTGTTAATACAAAAATGCCATTAAAAAAGCTTTTCTGCTCTCATTTTGGTATTTTTAGTTAAAGCTTGAGTAGCTGAGCATAAAAATATACATTATGTGTCAACACTCCAAAGAGGAAGGAAGATATAGCAAAGTTAAAGAATTGGTTACAGGGTGAGAACAGGGTGCAGTTATAACAGGGAGTGAATGAGAGACGACTGAGAGTTTCCTATCAATTAAGGTTCAGAGTTAAAAAAATAAACCTCCACTGAGTAAGATTTTGCCATTTTGAGGGAGAAAAGGCATGTGGCTACATTGTGTTGCCTTTTTTGTGCTTATGGAGATAAATATATGCGACTGGCAGCAGTTTACAAAGAAATTCTGGTCTGTCAAATGCATCTCTCTCCACTCTAAGTGATCACATGATAAAGTCTGCTAAAAGCTGTAAAACCCTTCACATTAGGACACAGCTCCTAAACTAAACATTTCTTTAGCAAACACCAAATACACCATTGAAAGATCAACATCTCTTCTGCAACTTACAGCTCAAATGGAGTCTGTAGCTGCACATATGCCGGAGCACTAAGCTCTTAGAGGGTGCTTCTCAAGTCTCTTATTTGTCGTTTCCTCGCTCCTCGAACCTCACTTGAACCGGACGTTGTTCCACTCCGCCATCTTGCAGGCCATCCCAAAGCTCTTATTTGCACTCCGAGGAGTGAGGATAGAGGAGCGATCTCTGAGGAGCTATGAGAGAGGATACACCAGTGCATCCTTCGCGGAAGTCTTTTAATGACCGACACGCCCCCTTATTGGGTAGCCGGTATATTGATTGGACAGGACAGATAACATTAAACTCAAGTGTATTGCTGCAAAGTCTTATATTTGAGTTGTTGCATGATTCACTGTCTTGTTAAAAATCTGTGTTCATAGTAGGTCTGAACAACAAAAGCCCCATACACAACTTTATTTATTTATTAGAAAGAGTTTTCTTTGTTTTTATTTCTCCCATCAACTTTTATAATGGAGACAATTAATGTCAGCGAGAGTCGGAGAGTTTGTCAGCAAGAAACATGTTTTACATAATTTATCGTCATTATTATTCAGTCACATGTGAGGCTAGTCATTCCTGTGTTTAGTCCAAATAGAATAAAACATAGTAAACACTTAAGGAGTCGGACAAGTCACTAAACTGCTCCAAAGTATCTAATGAAGAATGCAAAGCATCTGATGAAAGCAGTCGGTGGCTCTGCGAGTAAAAACGTTGGATTGATATGATGGACAGCTGATCTAGCCGTCATCAGAAGCGGACGTCGCTTTAGTGACCCTTCGGAGGAAAGGAGGTCTCATGTCTCTACAAACATATTTCCTTGTTCCTTCTCTCCTGGCTTGGTTTCCTTGCGTCTCTCCATCCCGGTGGGCGGGAAAAGACACAAGTGAGGGAAACGTGGATGCAAATAAGAGACTTGAGAAGCACCCAAAGTTGATTAGGTTGGAAGAAAATTGAGCTTCTGCTCCCATTGAAACCCATTCATTTTAAAATGCATAAAAATATTAATATAAAATCAACCATTACAGATATCAACAACACCAGCACACATCTCATGAACAAGATGTACAATTTGAAGTTGAAGTTTCTAGGACAAACTCTGCAGAAGAAGATAGATGACGAAGAAATGGTGAAATAAAGAATAATAAAGAGCGAGGATAACTAAAGAGTGAGAGCCAAAGATCTCCCACTAATAAAGAGTGAAGACAACTAAGGTTATTTTAATTTAGCTCTGCATCATTTAGTGTTTTTCTTGTTTTTCTTTTCTTCTTTTCTCTATCATCCCCCTTTTTTATTGCCTTAATTCAAAGCATTTACTCTCCCCATTTCCCGATTCAGTTTCCCCCACACCACTCCCCATTTATTTATTTATTGTACTTTCTACCTCCTGAACATACACACTCACATACAAATTGCCATTCAACACATTTAATATTCAACATGTCAAATCCTTTCCAGTTGTGTTTTGTCTTTGTTTGTTTTTTTTGTGTATTTTCACTACATACTGTTGTGTCTGTTATGTATTTCACCTGTTATGTGTCACATCACTAAATTAAAAAATGGTTTTGTGCTCAAGTTAGATAAGGTTAGCTTAGATAACTGTTGTCATATGTCTTTCCATATTACTTGAGCAGCTAACACGATCGATATTACTATCCTGTGTACCAATAGAAAGTACCAGTACAAAATGTGGGCAGATTTGTTTTTACTAGCCTATAGTGATGCAAGGCAGGGCCAGCCAGCTATTTTAGCATGGATCCGACACTATTATTGTTGTTTTCCAATACTCATGTACACAGCTACTTCACCGTTTTTGTTGCTGTAACATACATGACCCATGTAATGTACAATAATGCAACATAATGGTGTAGGACAACACCACAGTGAACCCATTCACTACAGTAATTTTACTTACTGTGGTCTTACTCTTCTAGACGGTTCTAGGGGGTCCCCAGCAAAAAGGGGAATCAGTTATTTTCACTATTATTCAATCCATTAGTAACACAATGAGAGAATCTATGACAATTTTGGTCATGAGTTTCATATCTTTTTCTGTAATAAATTATCTAAAAACCCGATGTCCTATTAGATGCTCGATCCTGGGACAAAATCTTATCAAATTGGGGTTTGTGGTCAAATTTCTGTCAGTTAAGGGGTCCTTGGCGTGAAAAAGATTGAGAACCACTGGTCTAACTGTTATGAAGTGATCTCCTTTTCCCCTCTCTGGTGAAAGAAACACAAATAGTTACTGAAAAGCCATGCAACGAGCATGGATTACTTTAACCTCAAGCTGATAAAAATATTACTGTAATGCTGCAGTGGAAATTTACCTGAGTTTCCAGCATGTTGTGTGTCGGATTTTTCTTGCTCATGAGTTTGAGCATGCAACACCTGCAATCTAAAAACTACACTGCTAGTTGCCACTGTAAACTACATTTAGCCCCTTTAAATCTTTAGAAAAGTTCAATTTGATTTGAGCCCAATTTTGCAACAGCACTTTTTGGCCCAAACAGCTGATCAACAGCGTTATACAGTATGCAACTGAGCTGTGCTTGTGTGTTTGAATGCGGAAGTTCTACAGTTGAGAAAATGTAGTTCCAAAGGAAAACACTGTTCTGATAGCAAGGTAAAAGCACTGAAAATATAGTGTAAACTTAACTGATGATTTTTTTAAGTGATCTATTTCTTAGATCATCAGCTTTATTCACACTGTATTGTGATTTGATCTCAATATGCAAATTAGGTAGGCATGGCTGACATACTTGTCAATAAACAAATAGAGTGCATCATCATTAAACGTGATGTGGGATAATATCAAGAGACCATAGGTGACGTGTAAGGTGGAGGTCAGACAGAGACAGCTGAAGGCATCTATCTGTAGGCTACTTTTGTACTACATAAAATAGATACTGTAAGACTCTAATCAGAGCCAGTATATCCAGAACATATCAGATCACATGTTAATACTAAGCAGAGATATGGTCTTAATCTCAAAAAGCTTGCTCTACCCTGGTCAGGAATATAAGCAAGTATCAACATCTTTATAAGCATTAAAATTATTCCTTGTGAGAGCATACCTCTTCTTTTGTCTTTTTAGACAGCACCCTCAGCCAGTCACCAATCATGTTCAGCACTGCAGCAAAATAGGCCAGACCACCCAGGATCCAGAACCATACTAGTGGTCTGTACCACTTCCGGTACTCAATCCTCCGGTCTCCCCCTGTTTAGAAAACGAGACATGTGGTGAAGGTGTTGCTACAAATGAAGAAATGTACATCATTTTGCTGCAACCAACATGCATCTCCACCTGACATTTCAAGGAATGAAATTCAGACAATGAGATATTTGCAGAAGTTTATTGTGTTTAAGTTTGTGTTAATGAGGTATATTTCTTTCTCTCTGATATTTCATATTTCACCATTTTAATTCTACTTCATTCTCCACCTTTAGTGTTTGTTCACTAATTTAATCTGCTTCCTTTCCCTCCAGTTCTCTCTTCCCCACACTCACACAACTAGACCTAAATGCACAGTGGAGTGCCACGCCTCTTTCTGGCTGTCTGCCTGTATTTGTCTACTCAGTTGACTTACTACATCAGCAATATGTTTTATAAAGTCGCCAAAAAGATACAGAACTCGTCTTCTGGATTTTTCCACCTGCGAGTCCATTTACAGCAGTAGCTGCGCTGCATGTAGTGGAGGCTTGTTAACAAATCCCTATCAAACGAAAACAATGTTGTAGCTAATGAATGACAAGATCTTGTGTTTGCTGTTCATTGTCGTTTGCTTGGTCCGTGCTTGTAAAAATTCAACATTATGGATAACAACTTTCTCTCTGTGTTTCTCTGCAAAATGGTAAAATGGGTTGCCAAATATGGGCCGCCTACACATTATAAGTATGGGAAACACTGTTTGAACACTTGATGACCATATTATTTCTAATAATATTAATGATTCTTGGAGAATGATTCCTAATAATAGTAATTGGTGACCCCCTAAAAATACTGTTGGTTATTTGAACTTGAACTTTGCAAGGTATCTAAAACACTATGTGCTGAATCTATGTTGGAGGTCCTTTAAGGATGAGTTGTAACCTTTTTGTCAGGTGACTTAGTCAGGCTACATTTTCCATTTGTACAGAATAAATTAAGCTTTATGTTAGTTCAGGCAGGCATACTCAGCCAACAGTCACACTTGTGTCAGTTGTTTGGCATTAGTGCGTTTAAAATCCTCTATAATGGTATTTAGAATTATCAGGTTATATATGCTCACTGGCCACTTTATTAGGTACACCTTTCTAGTACTGGGTTGGACCCCCTTTTGCCTTCAGAACTGCCTTAAATCTTCATGCCATAGGTGTTGGAAACAATTCAAAAAGAATTTGGTCCACATTGACATGCTAGCATCACGCAATTGCTGCAGATTTGTCAGCTGCACATCCATGATGCGAATTTCCTGTTCCACCACATCCCAAAGGTGCTCTATTCTAGATTGAGACCTGGTGACTGTGGAGGCCATTGGAGTAAGTTCAAATTTATTTATATAGGTTCAGAATACACAACGAATATACACGACAAAAACTGTTTGAAGGCCAATGAATAGAGGTGGGTCTTTAGCAAGGATATGAAAGTGTCAGCATTCCAAGCAATTCTTATTTCAACAGATAAAGTATTCCAAAGATTAAGAGCAGCTACTGAAAATGCTCGGTCACCTTATTTTTTAACTTAGATCTGGGCACATTGAGGTGCATCTGATTGGATGAGCACAGTGTTTTGACGGGAGTGTGTACATGCAAAGGTTCTGATAATGAAGGTGCGAAGCCATTTAAAATTTTAAAAACAAGCAATAAAATCTTAAAACAATCCTAAAGTGGACAGGAAGCCAGTGGAGAGAGGACTGGAGTAATGTGCTTACGCTTTTTAGTTCCTTTGAACTGCTGCATTCTGGATTAACTGTAACTGATGGAGAGATGACTGATCCACTCCAACATACAAAGAATTACAGTGGTCTAGTCGAGACATTATAAATGCATGGATTACTTTTTCAAAGTCTTTGCACGGCAGGTAGGGCTTGACTTTAACCAACAGTCTCAGCTGACTTTTACAACAGAACTAATCTGTTTTTCAAATTTAAAAGCACTGTCGAAGATCACACCTAGATTCTTGGTAAATGAACGACTATATGTTCCTACCAAAAGTACCAATAGCATCTACCCAAGCACTTTCCCATGTCGACCGAACACAACAACCTCAATCTTACTTTCATTAAGTCAGAGAATGTTCTGATTCAACCATATTTTAAGATCTCTCAGGCAGTTAAGCAAGGACTGAATTGAGGCTTATCATTGGATTTTACAGGCAAATAGATTTGTATATCATCTGGAAATCAATGAAAGGAGATATTGTGTTTCTTGAAAATGGACCCCAAAGGCAGCATGTACAGTGGAAAAAGCATGGGGGCCAATATGGACCCTTGGGGGACCCCACAAGAAAGAGGGGCAGCAGATGAAGAAAATTCACAAAGGTAAACAGAAACACCTATCTGCCAGATATGATTTGAACCATTTGAGTGCTGTGCATCTAATGCTGACACACTCTTCGAGTCAGGATTAAAGAATGGAGTGGTTAACCATATCAAAGGCAGCAGTCAAATCTAAAAGCACTAAAACAGCAGAGTTTCCAGAATCAGCTAAACAGCTAAATGAAGATCACTGAAAACTCTTAAAAGGGCAATTTCAACAGAGACCATCCGGCGGGCTGCCATCTTAGCCGTTAAGTTTCGTTTCTGTCATGAGATTGAAGTAGCGGAGAAGAGTTTGCTTTGGCGGAGGCGGTCTTTATCGGCCTCTGCTGGCAACCCATAGGAGCTACGCAGACATGCAAGATATCATTTCGTCTTTTCAATACGAAGAGAAAGAGCCCACTTGCAGCCCTGTAGGATGTTCTGTTCTCAAGCTGTGGCCTGTAAAGCGTGGGAGTGCATTTGGTCAAAGGAATATTGATTGTTTTTATCAATATTTCAATGTTTTGGAAGCTTTGTTATTTGGAATGTGGTTGTATGGAGAGAAATAATGTTTTGAAGATAAATCCCATTAAAACTGAACATTTAAACAGTAAATATGGCCAAAACATGGAAATTCGCCTGGTATATTTTTGAAAGATTGTGTAATAACTGTTGTACATCAGTTCTTTTCATCAAATTTACAGTTAGAGTTGTATTCCAGGTGTATTAGAAGATATTCAGGTGCATTATAATCTACCTTATGATGGTTTTGATGGTTTATTGCATTAAAATATAGCTTTTTTTCCCAGGCAAGGATGAAAATTTTATTTTTTCTGTATTTAATCTCCATGTAGTCTGTAATGGTAAAATAAATATGTTAATGTACAATGGATTTATATTCCTTAGCTTCTGACCTTTCATTATTTTAGCCGTTTTCCGCGGTTAAATCCAGACGCGGTTGCATAACTGGAACAGACCCTGAGAGATGTATTAACTAAGGATACAATGCTTAGGTTTAACAATAGAGTTAAAGCATTGAAATGAACCTCAGGCCTCTGCCTGTTACTGGCTACTACATGGGATTAAATTTAGTTTTAGCATATTTTACTGCTCTCTGGTATTTACATAATGTGTCCCCCAATATTTCAAATGAGACTTGAAGTTTGTCCTTTTTCCCCTTTCTCTCAGCTATTCTATAGGCACGTCTGAGACAGTGTATAGTGAACTCATGCAAATTGTAGCCTCACTTTCCTGTTCTTAGCTGAAAGGAGTGATTAATAATATGTACGAAACAAAACAGGTCAGGCATTTCCATTCATGAAAATTTGACTATGAATGACAACCTCTCACCTGCTACATAGTCACCTATTCCAACTGTTGTCAGAGTGATGACGACAAAATATGTTGATTCCAGAGCTGTCCAGCCCTCAATGTGTTTGAAGATCACAGCTGGGATGGTGACGAACAATATGCAGCCAGCCAGGATGAAGAGGAGTGTGGAAGCCACACGGATTTTAGTCTGACTTATCTGGTTGTGTTTATTCTGTGAGAGAAAAACACACACACACACACACACACACACACACACACACACAGGTATTAGTGTTGTAGGCAATGATACCTGTCTTGTTTTCAGTAGGGTTCTGACTGTTTGAACTCCTTAGGGGCAACTCTCTGAGAAGAGACTTCCTCCATAACCCTTACCTTACCCCTACCACAGGCTGCGTACATGAAGGTCCTCATTGAAGAGTACATAGAAACAAGGCATTTCCTCTTCCCATTTAAAAAGCTTAGACCCAAACATTACCTTTTACATTATGCAGATCTCACATTACAGTTTGGACCATTAATTCGCACATGGACAATGAGATTTGAAAGCAAGCACAGCTATTTTAAGAGGTGTATTTAGGCAAGTAAGAACTGTTTTAAATCCCTCTCAGAGAGACATCAGTTGCTGGCAGGACCACCAAAGTCATGTCTGACTGTACAAGGTTTTACCCGGAGTTGTAGAGTCAGATTAAGGGTGCATTGAAAGCATTCAATGTCACATCATCAAATGCGGTAGTGACAGACAGAATTACTGTACGAGGCACATGCTATGTAAATGACATGCTTGTCATTTTGAGCTGTAATACTGGAGAGTTAATTCTCGGGCTGATTTCATGCATTGTGGTGAAACAACAAAAGACTGTGTTTCTGTGCAGAGAAAAGCAAGTTTTGATCCAGGTCATGGTGTTTTTGAAGTAGAGGGTGAGGGTGGTATTTTTATTTGCAAAAGACTTGATGAACTTCTTGATTACATCCAACTCAGACACTACAGCAGAGGTGGCAGACTGCTGGTTGCTCTTAAACATAGTCCACCATGGAGTCTGTAAGGGAGAAGATCAGAAGACTGCATATTTTTAACTGCAGCAGACTTCAATCTATCATCAATACAGCACACTAATATCTTTAATTTAATTTAATTCATTTAAGCTTTATTGCCATGATCAATCAGAAACCTATATATTGCAGCTAATACTACACACTGACTTTTTTCCCCACGTAAATATGGCAGTATCTGAGGATGAGGGAGGTGGATAAACTTGGCATACATTACTTATTTTTTCAAAGAAAATCAATCTTTTCTCTCTCTCAAGTAAGGCTGCTCGATTATGGCAAAAATCATTATCAGGATTATACTGGTAATGACATGATGATTTAACATTACTCAAACATGAATTTATTGAACTTTGAAAAAAATTTATTTTTAACAGTGGATTTCCTTGATCTTTAAATATAATTCAATTGAAAACAAAAAAAGCTACAATTATCTTGTTTTCATTGTGAATGAAAATACAGTTTTATTAATCGTCCTGCCCTACTTACAAGTGACATTTTGTTTGGTATTGTTCACCTTCTGGAGTTCACCACTTTTTAAATTTTTCCCCCCTAGTGTCTGAGAGCACCCTGGATGTGTCCTGTACTCCCAAGGTTTGTAATGTTACCAAGGATCTGATGGAGATGCCAACTGTGACGCATCCAGAGATGTTTCAAATCCCATGGCAGAAGTTTCCAGTTACAATGATGAATGCGCTGAAGGAGAAGAGAAGGCCACTACCAAAAGATAGAAGACACATGGTAAGGATCATCATGGAAGACTTGATGGCTAAGGACACCAGACCAGGCAGAAGCAAGCTGAAACAAGTTGCACAACTAGCTGGTTGAGAGATATCCTGATTCTTTCTTGGATAGATGTGGAACAAATGTAGTGGGTCAAGGTTTTGCCTCCCTTGTTATGCAAATTGAGAATCGAGTCAAGAACATCAGGCAACAATATGCTTTCAGCACATCCAATGAACAGAAACCAAAGAAGAAATGCAAATCATCTGACCGTTACGGCTGTCCTCAGTGGCAACCTGAGTCACTGAATGACTATGACAACCATGAGGAAAAAAAGAGAAAGCTGCAAGACGCCTTTAAAGAAAATGTTTTACTTGAGAATGACATTAAAAGATTAATGGCTGAAACATACTGCGCCCAGCGCATCACTCTGAATACCGAAGACAATGTAATCAAACTCATGGAAGAATACCTCTTTGAAGCCACCTGTCTGGTTGACCACACAGAGAAATTGATGGGATTTTCTGTCCAAACCAAACTTCTGAACCAAGACCATCACTGAGTTTCTTTTGAGCAAGGGAATCACAGGAGTTACTACAGATCCATTAAAACTCCTCCAGGGCCTGATGGAGTACTTTGCTACTAAACGAAGAAGTAAGCACACAGCATAAAAAAACTCAGCATAAAATAATTTTATTGGTATTTGGTTTAGTTGGTAGGGAAGGTAGTGATGCACTGATATCAATGTTACCACTGCCTATACAGAGTCCTGAGCATTGCAGGGAAATTCCACAGAAAGACAACATTTTGTGATTCAGATATGTCTGTGTGTCTTCACCTCTCACAGGATGCCTCAGCAGAACTGCCAAGCACCCCGTGTATCATAGTTATGGGTAAGGATATTCATGTCTGCTAAATATTTGGAAGTGCTGTATATTTGTTTCATTGATTGAAAAATGTATTGTCATTATTTACATGTTTTGCAGATAAAGGTAGATACAAAATATCAGTGGATGAAGTCACAGTAAACCACATCAGCTGTTCTCTGGTTACTGTCAACTATGTTTTCAGCCTCTTCTACGTTCTGATCATCATGTATCCCAAGGGAGTAGCCCTGACTCTGGAATTTATCCAGAGGTATGTTTTAACAAAGTTCTTTGTCCATTTTATAGTATTACTTAGTTTTGCAATGCCATGCCAAAATGACATGATGCATTTTTTTGTGTTTGCCACAGGAGCCTGCTGGGTATTAATCCAGAATGTAGGTCTAAACCAGAAATAAAGGGCACAAAACAGTACAGCATTCCACCAAAACTGCTTTGGTTCCTGTCGGACCTAAGTGATTTCCAGAATCCTTGGAAGATTTAAAGGTCATTGCGCAAACTCCTTTGTTACTCACACTGTCTTTTTCTGTTGAAATCTTTTAAATGTGGCACAACTCCGTAAACTCAGCTGCTGGCTGAGACAAACCAACCGCTTCTCTCTACCAGGTAACATTACCTGCAGGCAGGAAATAACAGCAGAGGAAGGACTAATGTCTGAGTTCTACATTCTTTCCAAATGTCGCCCAGTATAGTGATGTCAGATATTGAGTTTGTATAGTGACTTTGCTATATCAAACTTTATTATTGCTGCTCTAGTAAGTTATAATAATAGTCATATTAAATTCTAATCCTCTTCTGATCTGAACAACCACGGAGCTAATAGGCACACCTTAGTGTTTGTTTATTTATGGCAAGTCATATTGTCATCTCAATATAACAATGTTATCGCACATCGTAGATTTTCCTTGTATCAGGCAGGCTGTCCTTACACCCTTGTTTGCTTCATTTCTCATTGGTCAGTTAGTTGATTGCTATATGCCTGAATGTGCAACATGGTCAAAGGCTTGGCTTAATTTCACTAAAGCCAAAGATGAGGAAGTGAAGAGCCATTTATGTTCCAAGTTAATTTCTTGGGACACATCGTCAATGCTATTTAAAGCACCTCAGCACGATCCATTCTCAATTAATATTAATATTTTGTTTTTGTTTTACAGCCATAGAAGTAGCATCTGGAACGGAGCGAAAGGAGAGGGAAGCGGTGTGTGTGTCGACAGGCATCCTATTGTACTCCCATCACCAACTGGGCACTCAAAATGATGGAATTGTTACATAATGTTTTGTTCTTAATAGTTCATTCCATTTACTGTGATACAACAAACTGTTAGAGTACAAACATGTTTTTTGGGAGCACACAATAGCAGTAAAATACATACGTATCACTTTTTCTTGCTTAATCTGCACTCTGTTCCTGAACTGCGTTGGGTTTATTTCATTGCTATTTTGGACAACAGAGTCAATTGTTTTTACATATTCATATGTCAACTATGATGTCAAGTGTAATTCTTTAAAGAAAATTTTTATGCATGTTTCAGTTATGTTAAACTGTGGAATCGTTCATTTTGACCCAAACTAGTCACAATCTAAAACAATTATTCAAAAAAAAATTTTGATCCACAATGTTTTTGTGTTTGTTTTGTTTTTATAACTTGATATGAATAAATAAGAAATGAATTATTATTTACCATTTTATGTAAGAGCATTTATTTCAGCTTAGAGAACAAAATATCACTGTGTCTATGACCAAAATGTCCAAACAAGCCAAGAGAGACACCAAGAGCTTCAGAAGGCCAACGCCTCACCTCCAGGGAAATGGGTCTATATTTCAGCAATCCTAATGCTCTCATAGTCCACTAACTAAGTTCTTTGTTTTGTCCCTGGCTCTCTTTCTCACCCTGTCTCTCTCCATTGCACTTAACAGTTCGAGTGTTTTGTTAGTGTCTATTTCCAGCCTGTTTGCCTGCAGGGATCACTCCTTCATCTAGGTGATAGAATTTATTCAGGGGATGTGATTGTTGTAATGTGACATGAATTAGCAGACTTGGAAAAATTTAGAGATAAGAAACTATAATACTTTTCCATTTTGTGTTTTTAGGGCCCGAGCATGACCGTGCGAGGTCCCTATTGAATTTGCTAAGATTATATATTTAGGGCCCGAGCACGACCGTGTGAGGTCCCTATTGAATTTGCTAAGATTATTTTTTTAGGGCCCGAGCACGACCGTGTGAGGTCCCTATTGAATTTGCTAAGATTATATTTAGGGCCCGAGCACGACCGTGTGAGGTCCCTATTGAATTTGCTAAGATTATTAGGGCCCGAGTACGACCGTGTGAGGTCCCTATTGAATTTGCTAAGATTATATTTAGGGCCCGAGCACGACCGTGTGAGGTCCCTATTGAATTTGCTAAGATTATTAGGGCCCGAGTATGACCGTGTGAGGTCCCTATTGAATTTGCTAAGATTATATATATATATTTTAGGGCCCGAGCACGGCCGTGTGAGGTCCCTATTGAATTTGCTAAGATTATATATATATATTTTAGGGCCCGAGCACGACCGT